AGGGAAAGATGCTGCATCTGAAACCACATGCAGCAAAAAGCTATGAAAAGGCAGAAGATATGTCTAAAACAAGCAAACAGGCAGAATAAACATTTTCTGATGAAAGATGCAACTAGGAGTCACTAATAATTACTGAGGTATCTCTCACCTCCACCTGCTCTGAAGGCTGCTCAATTTCTCTGTTCTGCTGTGAGCAGATATCCTAAACGTCCTTGTTTTTGTTGGCGTCCCTGTAGCTATCTGCATATATTTAGCTTGCATGTCAGGCTCTCCATAGTTTTCACTGGAGAGCAAGCTGCCTATTGTATCTTTAAAAGGGATTTTTCTCCAGGAGAGATCCTTTAAAATATAACAGGCCTATTTGTCTTCTCGTATGTGTCTTTAGTTTCTTTAATTTTCCTGGGCACTTTTACTAAGTGACAAATATACTTAAGTTTAAACAAGTAATTTCCCCTGGCTGGTATTCTTTCCCTCTTGTCTACTTCAACCTGCAGTGAATTCAAAACGCTGAATCTGTGTCTGGATTTTCAATGTCAAACACAAGATTATGTTTTCCAAGGCACAGCAGAAGGAGAACTTGAAGAATAAGGCTATTATTCAAGGAAACATCTGCATTCAAAACAGGGCAAGGTAAAATAAGAGCAAATTGCTTTTTGGGTTTAACATGTAGTTAGATCCTTCTTTACGAGTTCGCTGTTGGGAGATAAATACCTAAACACACTGGTATGGTGTAGACTAGGAGGTCAACTTGCACCATGTCAGCCATCTGATGGTATCTACAGGATGCAGACATGAAGCATCTTACCCCTCAAAGCTACTTCCACATAACTAAAGGAACAGGACATTAATCTGTGGCATTAGTACAACAAAAGAGCTCTTGGCTGTCACCCTCCTTTAACAGGCAGCAATGGCCTTTTGTGCCCATACCTGCAGTTTCAGAGTATGGTGACCTTCACATTGACAGTGGGATAGGGGTGGGTGGGAAGAAACAATCAACCACACTTTCAATTAGTACTTCTTAGAAAATGAAGGTAGTTAAGATCAGTTATGGTACAGTAATGGAAAATATCAAGCGGAGCGAAAACTGGCTGACAGTCTCAAAGTATCATAAAGTGAAAAAATAAAGAAAGTGCTATGAATTCAAAATATGGGCTGTGTTGATAATGCAGAAAGGGAGACTTTCATGAGCTAAGCTGATAAAACCTTTCTGACTCAGTAACAGTGGATATTGCTGTTGGTCATAACTGCATTTTCTCCAGCTGCTGAAGTACATACAGAATGATCTTGGACTCAGATTAAAGCAGCAAAAATGGAGAGGCTAGAGCCTGGGTTTTACTCTATAAAAGAGAAAGAATTAATAGATTTGTTGGAGAGTTTAGAAGTCATGACTTATAGAGCAGCCTCCTTTTCTGCTACAAGGGCACCGGGAAACAAACATGATGAGTTCTTATTGCCAGTGTCATGAGTTGTAAATGGACATGAAACACCTGGAGGACAACTTTTTTTGGCAAAAACAGATGGCCTGATTGTTCCCCCTTTTTTCTTGTTTCAGTCTCAGTTTCCTCTTCAGGCAACAGGTGTTGGTAACTAAACCAACCAGAGTGGTCAGGGACTTTCTCAAGAACAAAAGGATGGAGAGACACCCTCTCTGGAGCAAGAGGGAGCAGAATTAACTAAATAGTTCTGGTGAGCTATCATGATGTGCTCTGGAACAAAAAAACACAGTATCAGGTGGAGCTGTACAGGCTCTAAATGTCAAGGAAGAAGAGGGGGAAGAAAAAAAAAAAGAAAAAAGATTTGAAACCTACAACTGATTGTATAACTTCTGTGAAGCTGTAAGATTTGCTTTTGTGAAACTGCACACTAGGACAGCACAAGATGGACCTGTACAGAATGGGACCAGCTGCATCTCCCACATGTGGGCTCTAATCCACAACATTAGAGCCAGAGCAGAGTAACAACAAGAATGTAAAACAAGGAACACATGGGGAGTGCTAAGAAGGTGAACGTGTGTACAAATTTGAAATAAACACAAACAAACTGAAATAACAGGGTGAAAAATAATAATAAGGAAAATATTTCAATTGTTTATAACAATGTTATTAGTGTGGGCAGCAACAATGAGTCAGGAAAAACATCTCCTGGAGAAGGAACACTTGGCATTGCTGAAGCCTGGTGGGATGACTTCCATAAACAGCCATTGTGAATATTCCACTTATAATCTGCCTGGGAAGATTCCAGTAGTAAAATGTGTGCCTATGGGTGGTGTTAGCGAACAAGAAAGTAAGGGAACAGCACTCTAATATAGAGGTTTTAAAAGCTAGAATTGCTTTGGAATCATTAACTCAGAAGCGTATTGTTTCAGGGCCGATAGAGCCAACACCAGAGGGAGGCAAATACAATGTCCTAAATAACACAGCCTACCTAGCTGAATACAGTGTTGACTGCAGATACAGAATTGCTCTGAATATGCAGAGGACTGAGAGAGTAGAAGTACAGCTAATGCTAGCAGCTATTCTTCTATGGAAAGCAAATTTTTACCATAAACTTCATTCTTCAAGAATATCTAATTACCAAACTTGAAATGCTCTGTTTTTCACAACGCTCAACAACATTTGCACAACATTTGAGACACATTCAGTATCTCACACAGTGAATACTGAATACAATTACGAATCTTGGTTGCTGTTGAGGGAGCCAGGTAACTTGCAGATGTCACATCACAGCCAGGTATATGAAGTCATAACCCAGTAACAGCTCTCTAGTAGGGTCCCTCAGGGATGAGGAATTGCACAACACAAGTCTATGTGGTCTTCCCTTAGTATGGAGCAACCTTCCACAACTAGCAGTGTAGGCCCATCCAAAAAAGTTATAATCATACACTCCAACAGACAAGAGCTGTTGGGCAAGCTGAGAAACAGGACCTTTTTGAAATTCTGGAAAGCAATAATGGTGCAGAGGAGAGGACACTGTGAACAAAATACTGCACAGAGTTTTGGTTTCTTCTGAAGTTTTTTTTGCATTTTTCTTAAGTATACAGAGCTGCAGAAATAATGTTCTTCAGCTTCCTATATTTCCTAGAAGATCTCAATCTGCTTAGAAATTCCAACCTAAGAGTGAAAGGCAGATGATTTAGCAAGGGCAACATCAATGTCAGGGGAAAACAAGTGAACTCTGGAAGTGTAGTAAGGACCCATACCTGGAGGATGAAACATGGTAAACCCAAAGGGTCTCATCGCTAACAGTAAGAGTGACTAACCACTGAAATAAGGGAAACAGTGGATTTGGCAAGCCAATTTTTGAAGTATAGATTAGCTGCCCTCTTGAAAGGCTTGTGCTAGACAAACACAAACAGCTAGGGTCAGCATGCCTGGTTGAAGCTCAAAGGCTAGTGGGACACAGAAATGTAAATCTAGAAGAGATTATCATTAATGGAGTTCAGTCCAGATGACCTATGCTTTTGAAAGTGACCCATTTTCCAAATCTTCGGTACCATCTAGTACTTCATCTTGGCCTTCATCACCTTAATTAAAATCACCTTTATACCATTACTTTTGAAAATACATTTCATAAAACTTATTTCCATGTCCAAGGCTCAAATTTGACACATATTTGCACTTTCCATTCACATGCAGCAATACTCAATTATGATGATTTTTCTAATATACAATACCAGCAGTATTTGGTTTTGTCTAAGTGATCTTAGTTCATCTACATAGCAAATGAATCTCTGGAAATTTGCGTTGATATTACTGATTCAAAGTAAATATTTACTCTCCAACTACTAAACAATATCCAGGTATCATACAGTAGCTCACTTAACAAGATATTAGGATTTGATAAGAAAAAAGTCCAATAGAACATTACCTCTACAGCTTCCCATCCCCACTGCCTGTACTTTGGGTCGTGAGTAAGCCGCCACATGTACATGTAGGTCTCTATGACTTCTGGTCGTAGGATGTAGTATTTTTCATTTTGTCTTGTAGCAATGGCCTCAACACCACCATCAAATCTGAAGGCTTCTGGTCCCAGTTTCATGCCTAGCCAATATAAAAGCACATATTAAAATAAAGGCATTAAAAAAGGTTTCAAATTATGTAACCTACCAAATCAACTATCCTTTCCTGTGGCACAAAGCCAGGTTACCCAAAAGGAATATAATTTCTGGAAGATACTGCAGCAACTCCTGTTTTTAATATTGTAAATAATTCAGAGTAGGAGAGAGCTGTTCTTCATCAATGCCTTAAACAGCAGCTCTGGTTTGAACAGCAATGCTAACATTTGCATTCTGGAAGACTTCATATAACTAGCAACATGTGAAATTTTGCTTAAAAGACGAGGATATTTACTTTTCTGTATCAAACTGGAAAATACACTCTGGGACCTGAAGCGCTGCCAGGCTTATTTTTATAAGAAGATGAAAGAATCCAAAGAAATTTCCTGCACAGAAATCCATGTTCTTTGTGCATTTCTGTTGTCTGCAACATTGTACCAACAGAACTGAGAATAAAATAATTTTTTTGTGCATAAAACATAATTAATAGCTATACTGATGCTTAAATGATCAGGGTCCCTCTCTTATTCGTATTCAGCTATACAGAAGTTAGCGAAGTGAAAAAAAGCTGTCATGTTAATGACTAGAATGAGCAGACATGACTCAGGCACGCACAATTGATTTATAAAACAGAGCGGCCATTCTTACAGTTACTCTTGGAGCAAAGCAGCATTTGCTCAGAAAGGATGAAGACTTCTCACCATCATCCAACTTTCATTCAGCACTAAGCAAAAATATCGATGAATGCCTTCCCAAAATCAAACGGTGAAACTCAACTCTGTAGCACAGTACTTACTTGTTCGATCGTAAGATTCGTGGCAAGTCCTAGCAATTTCAGCCCCGAGCTCGATGTGATGGCCTGTCTTGTCATTAGGAGCCCCATCTGCCCCAAGAGCAAACATTCCTCCAGCAAAGCAAGTGAGATGTCCCATCTTGTGTTCAAGCAGCCCACCCTTCCACTCAGCGATGTACGTCAGCCCCCCGCTTGACTTGCGAATGAGGTGGGTCTCTATGGCCTGCAAAAGTACATGATTTCAAGCCCTTTGGTACCATTTGGTAAAGGACAGACAAAGCTGTCTTGTATGTTTGTTGTTTTGTCTCCACGTTGCCTTTGCTTTTCAAGTAAAACGGATAATACGAGCTAGCATAACCTCAAAGTGCAGCCAAACCAACACTGATTAGCATACATCAGTGACAATTATTAATTTTGCTACAGCTTTGAGCAATTTACACAGTACATTTTATAAAAATATTGGAAAGACCTAAAAATAAAATTCCACTCTAAAAGTCTTAATTTCTTTCCCTTTCGAGTTTGAGCAATTTCATGTAATTTCACTTTTAATGGTGATTAGCCATCACTTCAGCTCCCATACTTCCCATTGTAATTCTGACTTAAAGAATGTGGTTATTCATATAATTTCATGTCAATTATATGCAGACATAGCTCATATTCAAAACGTCTGAGTGCACTGAATGACGTGAGGTCTCTGAGTCTATGGGGCATTCTCAAAGTCCAATGAGATTCCCCTCCCAGACTGAATTCCTCTGTAGTTATCAATCAAGAATAGGGTCTGGAAAAACAACACGAAGCAGAAAAAAAATACACAAATCTCAACTTGAAGTTGATGCTATTAGCAATGTATGGTGACTGATTACAAAATCCAGGAGAACAACCTTCCCTTATGAGAAGAACAGAATTAAAACCATAGAGGAGAGAACATTAATTAAAAATCCCACACAGAAGCAAGCCATTACTCTTTAAAGGGTAATGGAGAGGAGACAAACAATGCTATCATACTATCCAGCAATACTCTGGTTTAGTCAATGGAAATTGTAAAATCCAGAAACTATACTCAACATGCATTATACAAGAGAAAAAACATGAATAAAATATCAGTACAGAGAACTATTAACAAAAAAGCCAAGATTAAAAACCAAGTGTTATAAAGGGAAGATATCGATTGTACTTATTTCTTCCCATTTATACATCTGTAAAGGTTGTTTTTATAAGTATAAAAAAATCTTCTATAAACTAGAAGCATCAGCAGAATAACTGTACAAGTTTTACTTATGAAGTAGTTTTTTTGTGCCAAGAATGTCACACTGAAAACTACACTTTGTTTTCGAGTAGTATTAGTGCAAAGCACTTAGTAAGGATGTTTTCTGCCTGCCTCCAGACTCATTATTGGCTTGGAAAACTCCTCCACCCCTTTGTTTCCTCCTTGATTGCATGTTTTTAGCACTAGGTACCAACTGAAAAGCATACCTAAATTTTAAAGCAGCAGGAAACAATAAAGATTCCTTACTTTAAACAAATCCTGCATACTTTAACCCATAAGAAGAGGAATTAAATATGAAAGGAAAAAGGTGGGAAAACAGTTTCCTTAAGCATCCAAACCACAGACTACACTGTGGAAGATGAAAGAATTACAAAACCTAAGTAGGTGTTGAACAAATTGGTGAATGTGTATTCCAAGTGCATATAAGAAAGCTTTTCTGTCAGGCTGGGAAGCTAGCAGTGGAATACCTAGGTACTTAAAAAGGAAATTATGTTCTTTGAAACATTTCTTTTGTGCTCATCTGAGTATAAAATATTTGAATTTATAATTTAAGAATTGACAGAACAGAGTTCAAAGAACCTGCTACAAAATGTATTAATGCATAAATAGGCAAAATTTCTGAGAAGATAGAAATAACTGAAAAACGTCCAGAAACCGTTTCGGAGCGCTGTTCACATTTTTAGTAAATGGTTTACAATTTGTAATAGGATGCCTTATTGTGAAAAATGCACAAAAAATTTGAGGGAAATAGCTTTCAGGCATTCTAAAAAATAAGCTACCTAAAGCCAAGTTCAGAAATGGAAAAGTTTTAAATTAATTACATTTCATTAAACCTTTCAGCACGGTATTCTTGTCTCACCGAAACAATTCTGGGAGTAGTTAGTAACTCCACTGGTCACTTAGCTGTTGAGTCAGAATTGATTCTAAAAAAACCAAGCAAATTTAAAAACAGATTGATGACTACATTTACTTATATTGCTATTTTTTTCAGTAAAGAATTAATGAAAGACTGAAATCTTAGTGTACCTGACAGAAATAACAATGATCATGCACCTTCAGAACTACAGTAACTAGACCAGAGATGATTCCTGTAGTATGAAAATGGATTTTGCGATACCAATTAGTCTTTCTAAGTTTTTTTTCCCCTCTTTCGGCTCAAGATTAAGTTCAGGCTGGAAAATTATTAGTTCCACTCAGGAAATTTTACAACTATTCTAACAAACTGGTGATGAGAAACTAACACACTGATGTTAATGGATGCTAAGAATGTCACAAAACAAAAATATATTTCCAAATTAATTATTCATGTCTAGTAAAGCAAATAATCTTGGGTTTATAAATGGGTCCTATTAAGAACTAGTACATATGCCTATTAAAAGTTATTTTTATTATATGTCTTATTTAAAGCTATTTTTATTAGGTAATTATTTGATATATTACAGACTCTCAAATTGCCTTGTCATACATACAACTCTTATTCTGGAAGACAGAAAAACGAATCCTGTAACTTGGTAAAGCCTAAAAGTTATATGATTACAAAGTAATAGTTTGCAGAAGTTACAAGATTTAAGCAAACTGACCTCAACCAAACAGCTTATGTAGAGTGTGGAAGGCAGAGGAGCGGCTCTTCTCAGAGGGCTGGCAGCTCTTTCGTACGGGGTTGTGCGCCACCAGAACTCACAAAAGCACTGCCTGGCAGCTTACAGTGGCACTGGCAAAAGCTTCAGCTACATCTGAGAAGTTTCTTCATGGGCCATTTTTGGTCTGAGCCAGAGAAACTGCTTTTGTCTGAAATAGGTTTCCCTTCTCTCATCACTACTCACCTACCACCCTCCGACTGAGAACAGAGAGGCTACCGGCTTGCCCTGAAACAACATTGTCCAAAGGCTTGCTAACAAATTTGCAGTATCAGAGTTGCATTGAGTTTGGAGTAATACCAGCATGGCATCAAAGTGTCAGATTGTAATGAATCTGTTAGGTGTGTTCCAGTTGTTTCAGGAACTCAACATGAAAAGAAAAAAATTATTAAAAATCAGCATATTTAGAAAGCCTTAAAAATCTAAATGCTTTTGATCTTAAAGAAAAAGTATAACCTGCATGAGTGGAAAATATGAAAGGATTATTATTTTATTTAAATAAATATAAACAAAATTATATGGTTTATAATATTATAAATAATTACCAACACTAAGTAGCAATTAATGTATTCATTGAAATTTGAACTCCTGTATCAGTAACAGTATTTGCAGCATTAAGACATGGTAAAATTCCTTCCTTTTCCCCAGAAATCCAACCTAGCTATAGTTTCATTTCATACTCTACTTCTAAATATTGCTAAAGCACTGCTTCTGGAAGGTATAATGCATTGGTATAATAAAATATTTTTCAAAGTAAACAATAAACAAGAACCAGTACTCTTTCAATGATCAGTTCTGAATCTATACCCACACCACCAAAGTGCCATCTATCATCCGCCTACTGGAAAGTCACAAAACTGCTATTCACATTGAAATTTTTTTTTGTTATAATGTAATGGTATACACTACTGTGAGCAGAACATCAAAATATTTTTCTGTGAGTTTCACAAAGGTTTGAAGTGCCATCAGGCTGGACTGAACTTTCTGAAAGGCATTCATTTTTCAAATAAGGTTGAGGTGCAGAGCAGGACAGAATCACTAGCTGGAAAACATGGACAATTGCTTTAAGTATAAAAAAACTTGAACACAAAGTTGAGGCAGTACTAGGATGAGGAAGAAATACTACTGGTTTAAGTGAAGGTGTACTAAGGGTCTCTGAACACAGCAGTAGGGTGGAAAGGCAGGGTTGCAATCCCCTAGGGAAATGCTGCTTGCTGTCTGCAGTGCTGTGGGTGTAGCTCAAGCTACTACAAAAAAGTTATTACAAAAGAAGAATGGGTACTATGGTGACAAATATCCACCCAAGTGAAAGGCTCTGTTTGGTAGAATCAATTCTGAATTTCTTACTTAGAATCAATTTACTTTTATTTTGACATAATTATCTACACACTTAACAAAGGGACACGTTCATTTGAATTGCAGCTCTATTACAAGTTGGTCCCCACCTACGAATCAT